CTAAGTTACGAAAGGAAAACTGAGTGAAAGTACAGGAGCAGGGTGTACCCTTCCCTAAGCCTCGAATGGGAGAGATCGATGGCCGAGCATCTTTCCTCCGCAGTCTCAAAGAGAAGAGTACACCACCGCACCATACCACCCATTTTTAGTATTCAATACGGTAGCCGAATGGTAGAGAGGCTCAGCCATAGGGCCCATCTTATTAAGACATCGCCCCTCTCCAGAGATGGAAGAGGGTGGTAATGAGCTGCAACGGCTGTGTTTTTTTTTGCTCCGCCCAGTTGGCTATCGCGCAATGACTCTTCAAAGACAACACTCCGCATTAGCATGTTGTAAATCCCCCTTGAGTTGGGTGACTTGTTTTCACATCCTGAGAAAGGGATATTTTTTCGACTCAAAAGCGCGCAAGAAGTGGCCGCAAGACTACCGCCATCCCATGCGGCACGTGCCAGCCCATGACTTGCAATTGGACCATATTATGCTCGGCTAGTGATCATAGCTAACTGCAAAAAGAAGTCCTTATTGAAGGCAGGCCTTTTTCTGCCATCTTCTCACTAATAAGCCAGTTAGTCCCGACATTATTGCTTTCAAATCCCGTAGCATATAAACTGCGGTCGCGCACACTGCTTTTAGAAAGGAAAACATCCGATCAACCAGGATACACTAAGAAAAGTATAGAGTTCAAAGACACGGCGCAGTTCGGCGACGGAGGGCATTTCACTTTACATCAACGTGTCGACCTATCTAGACAGCCTCTTCTTAAGTTGACAGGTTTTACCATGATGGCTTGACGAGCTTGCTCCAGCTTCACAAGAGTTCACAGGTTTCGCCAGAGTGAGACTTGTAAACCGGAACTAGTGAAGCAATGAATAGTACAAAATGCCCCCCCCCCCTCGCCGAACTGCGCCCAAAAACACATCGAACACTACCTTGCACGACTAGAGATGAAAAAACCAAGTTAGAAGGAAACCCGTTAAAAGACCCGAAAAAGTGGAAGATTTGAGAAAAATATTCAGAGACAAAATAAGGTTCGACGTACCATGAGCATACGTTTGCGGTTCAAATATTATTTCACCCTTCTCCAGTTGTTTATTGTACCTGAAAACGAGACATCAATATGTTGACATTACGAAAACTGAATGAAGTAGTCTCAGAAGCCCCACCTGTCACGAATCGCCTGTGTCCTTTTGCGAATCTCATCGAATTTCGCTTTTTGCTGATCATTCTGCTCCTTCATCTCTTTCTCAATTAACTGATTCTTCAGCACTGCTCCTCTGAAATAATTGAAGAACATCACTCCAACCGTTACCTTCCCTATAACCAAGGGAGAAAGGGATCCTCTTAACCAAAGCCCGTGACAATATGGAAGAAAACCTAAGGAAACTCAGTAGTCAAAGAGCAGGATTGATGTAGTCCATTACTATGTTAACAAAGGCCCGCTCGGGTGACGATTACAGCTGATCTCGTCGCAATCAGTCGGGGCGGGGTGAAAAGATATGGAACGGGCACACCTAAACCGCCCCAACTGACACTGCCTTTTCCCCAAACAAGATAGTCTGCTTCGCAACCGCAAAATCTCTCCTTTTACGCGACTAGACAATGAGTAACGACGGCGCACAAGCCCGGCAGCCCCACCCCAAGATAAGAGTTGCCGGCGGATGCCTTGATGGGCCGTCTAGCCTAGTATCTTGCAGCAAGGTACAGCATCGTTGTGTGAAACACATAGGGGGTCGTACTTCTTGGCCAGGAAGGAAGGTCGTATTTGGTCGTTGCTGGGAGAAAGGGCGGGAGAAAGCTATATGTGGCTTTGAGAGAAATTTGCCGCGTTGGGAAAAAAGTTTTTCCGGTTGTTGACTTGTCGCGTGGTTTTCTTCTGTTTCATGTGTACCATATATTTACCCCTCCCCCTCTCGACAGCACAATTTTTGGGGAAAAACTAAATTTTCGGGAATATCCGGAAAAAAGTGTGAGGAAG